ATTTCATAGCTTTGAGGGTGTGGCTTCGCCAAACTGCCTCCTGAAATCAGAGTGTGAGGCTGTTCATCACATCAGTAAGGCAGGGAGAGGTGAAGCATTTCTTTTCTACTGTAAGATGATTCGAAACATACAACTTGGACATGACCTGCAAGTCTGACAAAAAGTTCTCTTAAGGGAAGAGCTCACAGCTCTTGTGTGCTTAACGATGTTACAAAAGAACACTGATGACAAAAAATTGTTATTAAAATAATATTTTCAAATTATTAACAAGAAAATAAGACCTTGGAGACTAATCCACAGTTTTGGACCCTCCTAATGAAGACGACTTAGTATAATATTTTAAATAAAGGTCATTATTATCCAAAAAAAAAAGAAAATTGAATTTCACAAAGTTCTCTGACACTTGAAATGTGAACGACATCTGAACAGGAAATCAAAATTGCTTTTAGCTCTCAGTACGATGTTCAGCATTATTAAACATGCTTAACACACTTATCTTTACACTTGGGTGGTAAGGTCATAAGCTAAGGACCTTAGGAAGAAATTTTCCATTTCTAGTAAAGCGAAATATCTTTAGAGGCAAATTTATTCTGCAGATGATGTTTCCTACCCTCAGAATAACTAGTTTCATGCCTGTCTCACAAAGCAAAGAACATAAGTAAGTAATCAAGGAGACGATATCTGACCCACTCTTGTGAGTACACATTAGCCATGCACCTGATCAAACCCCACCCTGAATATTAGATCTTGAAATAAATAAACGTGACAGACAACTAAAGCCAACCGGCTCCCCCTTCATCCAGTACGAAACGATACATAATTAAACACACTCAGCAAATCCCCTCAGGCTCTGGAAACAGACAGCAAAAATCTAAGGACTCCCACAGACTGACATCTGGTTATAAAAAGGAAGAATTCAAAGAACGCACATGTTAAGTTACATCAAAGGGATATTGTAGGAAACCATGATATTCGAGGGCAAATTTCCATTCTGTCGTCACATTCCGAGTCCATTTTGTTTTACTTTACTAATGTTTATTCATCTTTGAGAGAGAGCACAAGCAGACAAGAGGCAGACAGAGGGGGTGAGAGGATGCCAAGGAGGCTCTGTGCTGACCGCAGTGAGCCCAACGTGGGGCTCCAACTCAGTAACCGGGAGACCGTGACCTGAGCCGAAGTGAGACATTCAACCGACTGCACCACCCAGGCACCACTCAAGGCTGATTTTACGAAACAAGGATATAAAGTCGTATAGGAGTACAGGACAGATTTAATAAAAAGATCTGAAGTGGCATAGCAGTACAGGTGGAAATAGTCTTAGACAGACCACTCATCATCAACCGATTATTGTTTTAAAATTAGGAGGCTATGCCTCTCCATTATAAAATCTAACTACAGGCACTTTATTAGCGTCTTCCAACGTTTTATTGGGAAAGATGACAAAGAATCTAAAGTTGTGGTATGGATTGCTACTTGACATCAAATAATACCGTAGTTCATACTTGAAACTGTATTGTAGTCAGTGTTCTTTCTATGGAAGTCACTCTGAAAGTGGAGAGTTTAATAGGAGCTTTAGGGGAAAAGAACACCGGGCGCCGGCTGGCTCAGCTGGTTAAGCGTCTGACTTCGACTCAGTTCATGATCTCACAGTTCATGGGTTCGAGACGTGCATCGGGCTCTGTGCTGACAGCTCAGAGCCTGGAGCTGCGTCAGGTTCTTTGTCTCCCTCTCTCTCTGCCCCTCCTCAGCTCCCACTCTATCTGTCTCTCTCTCAAAAATAAACAAACATTAAAAAAAAGATTTTTTTTTTTTTACAAATAGTTTATTGTCACGTTGGTTTCCATGTAACACCCAGTGCTCATCCCCACAAGTGCCCTCCTCCGTGTTCATCACCCCTTCCTCGCTCCCCACACCCATCAGCCCTCAGTTTGTTCTCAGCCTTCAAGAGTCTCTCATGGTTTGTCTCTCTCCCTCTCCCCCACTATTTCCCCCCTTCTTCTCCTCCACAGTCCTCCGTCAAGTTCCTCCTAATCTTCCTATACATGCAAACATATGGTATGTGTCCTTCTCTGCCTGACTTATTTCGCTCAGCATAACACCCTCAAGGTCCATCCATGTTGCTACACATGGCCAGATGTCATTCTTTCTCATTGCCATGTAGTATTCCATCGTATAGATAAACCACATTTTCTTGATCCATTCGTCCGTTGATGGACACTTAGGCTCTTTACATGGCTTGGCTATTGTTGAGAGTGCTGCTATGAACATTGGGGTACATGTGCCCCTATGCATCAGCACTCCTGTGTCCCTTGGGTAAATTCCTAGCAGTGCTATTGCTGGGTCCTAGGGGAGTTCTATTGTTAACAACAACAACAAAAAAAGTCTAATATAGTTGAAAGTCAGTGTTCCTTTGGAGGAAGTGAGTAGAATCAAGTTGGACCACTCCCCCAGGCTTGAGGAGGCTCTGGGTCACACATGGTTCCAATGGGAATGGTGAGCCCAGCACTGCACATGGGGTCCCACATTCTACATTGTTTTACTGCACGTGGGGTCCCGTGGTCCACGTATTTTCACTAGAATGGACGTAATGATTGAAAACTGAATGTTTGGCTTGAGTGTGTCTGCAGAGGTCCTGTAAATCTGGAGTGCTTCATCCCTTCTGACATGTGTTTTTTAAAAATGTACAATAAAATTACTGCTCAAATTCTGAAGCTAGACTGTGCTTATCCACAGAAGCGAGATGGATTCTGTTCACTGCCACAGAATATCCTTACTAAGAACTTACAATCCCCTTGAAGAATGTGTTCATTATTATCAGAGGATTAAAAAAATTACTCTCCTCGTATATATTTAAACAGAATAAATCAAGAGATTCCTGGTATGTCTTGTCAAATAAAAAGACGTGCCATAAAAAGGAATTTTTTTTTTTTTTTTGGTTTCATAAGCAAACTTTATTTTACTTTCAGGCAGCCTTGTTTCTTGGAGGAGAAAAAAGTGAGGAATATCAGATATAAGCTAGAAGCATTTTCTTGATTACCACCAATCCACTTAAGGAGAGGGGAAAAGTTTAATATGCTGTACTCAAGAACCCTGAATTCTAAATTGTGAAGTACATTAAAATACCCCGTGAGGATGGCTTTATGTTGGTAAGACATAATGGATATTGTTATTAGGTATTTAGAAACAGATATTTTAGCCCCCACTGAAAGACTCCCACTTTCCATCAGAACATTAAGGAAGAATAAAGAATGCTATATTAGTTTATCATGAATTAATCATGAACCTTTTCAGCTGCATATGTTTCATTAGCTTACTGAGGCTGTCAATTTTTTTCTGAGCTCTTGGAGCCGGGTCCAAAGAATGTCAATGTCCTCTCTAGATTAAAATGACCAAAAAAAAAAAAAAAAAAAGAGTACTCAAAGTATTTCTCTGTAAAACGTACAGTTGGTTTCTGGGGGAATAAAAATAAAACTCTACTTAGCAGGTGCTTAAGGCTTTGAAAGCTATGTCAGAACTCTGAGCCAGCTCCTGCATTAACAGTAAGTTTAGAAAATAAATTATTCTTTAAAACCCCTGAAAAGTTTGTGTCTGAACCGGAGAGAAGGAACAAACGAGCCTTTTAAGGAACAAATTACAGAAATTACAATAGAAAATAACTCTGTTAAGCTGCTAAGCATTAAGTACGCATATAAGCCAAAGCTTTAAGCCTCCATGGACGTTTCCTGCAGTAGGAGAATCTTCTGCTGTGGGGTTTCAATTTAACAGAGTAAAAAAAAAAAGGTCCTAAAGCTTCTTTCTCTCTTTGTTCTCTTTAATTCTCATTCTACCGCAGATGGTTCAAAGTCAAAGACCAGAAAATATTCCAGGAAGGAGGAGAAGATTAAGCTGAAGTGTCTTCCCACAGTGAGCAGGCAGGGGCTGTCGAGTTTGCAGGGCTAGCGCTCAGCGATGGGTCTGAGTCCGCGGAGACGTTGCCCTGCGCAGTGCAGGACAGGACCGTCAGCAGCACCCATGACCTGCACCCACCAGATCCCAGGAGCAAACCTCCTCCAACATTATGGCACCAAAATGCCTCCAGACTTGCCAGATTCCCACCCCCGAGGGCAGACTCGGCCCCCTGGAGAAATGCAACCATCTAACCTGGAGCTCTGGACATCGTTATGTCCCTCCACTGTGCCTCCCCTCCGCTCAGGGCCTACTCGTGGGGAAGTAGGTTCCACTTACATAAACAGTTAGACGAAAGCCTAGGGTGAAAAGCCGGCATCACGGGGCAAAAGCGCTCGAGGTGAGTTAGTGAGATACTGTACTGGGATCACGAGTAAGCTGTTATATCTCTTGCAGGAAGTTACTTTCCATCTGGTGCCAACATACTTTGATCTCAAACACCACCTGCCCCCCAGACCCTTTGCTTCTTATACATACAAGTTAATGACTAGTGTCCGATTGTTTTCTTCACATTCACCATGTGAGTAGTATCTTGTTTTCTTCACACTCACCACGTGGGTACCCATATATTCTCAGAAAGCATCTCCACGCACACTTCTCCGAGCCTGCTGCTCAGGGGACAGGGAGCTGTTCTGATTGCCTAGCAATGCCCACCTTGACATCATAATGACGTAGTGTCATCAAGATACAGCACTGGGGAGGGGCTCTTCCCTTCCCGCTCACCTCACTCCCCTCCACCAGGGGTATTTTTGCTATCAGTCAGTGCACACGGCCCTCTTTGGCGGTACAGCCTTCCTCTAAGAAAGCGCACATGCCCCCCGGATGCTGCCCTTTGGAAAACGTGACCTTTTGTGGGAAAGTCCCTTCTAAACAGAAGGGCGAGGCGGGCTCAACATTCACGTTGCCCCTGAAACATAAGACCCTCCACAACACCATTTTAAAGTCACCAAGTACTCTGGCATGATTTACAAGGCTCGGGGCGAGATAAGCGCTTTGTGAACAGGCAATGACGCACTCACAAGGAACGGACGTACACAGGCACTTCTTATACTCACCTTGTAGCAACAGAAGACCGTCTCGGGTCCTTGTCCTCAAGGATCTTAGCTTCCTGACACGGCTGTGTGCGGGCGCACTGATGTGAGCAGGCCTCAGCAGACATGAACGGGGGGCACCGGGCTCATCCTGTGAATTCATTCAGAGGAAGAAGAATCAGACACTGGATGAGCACATGCTGAAAACCTTCAGGGGAACACACTCCCCCTTGCCTGGAGGAGTCCCTTTTCCTGCACGTTTCTTCTTTCTGCTCTCTGCCGAAACCCAGGTTAGCTACGGGTCACAGCTGACTAGGCACCACCTCAGAGAACCCCCCCCACCCCACCCCAATTACCAATACAAAGCAAATATACCCCCCCCATGGTTAACTATCCTAGGATCTTGTTTCCCCTTAAGAGCATTTATCACTATTTCCATTAACGTATATATGTGGTTTCTTTTTATTTAGCATCTGTCCTTCCCACAGCCTCTAAGGATCAAGCCAGTAGAGGCCATTTGTGTGACATAGTAAGATGTCAATATTTTCTGAATAGCGCTCGGATCACAAACTCCGGCTCGTGGGAGTGCCCCCATCTGTTTTCTTAGAGAAGGAAGAATTTTATTCGCATTTTTAAATGGCTGAGAAAAGAATGTTTTGCACAATGTGAAGAGTATATGAAATTTATATTTCAGAGTCCACAACGGAAGCATATTAGAACACCGCCACATCCATTTGCTTCCTTATAATCTGTGTCTGCTTCCGTGCTATAGCATCAGGGTTTAGTAGCTGCACAAGAGATTGTCTGGCCTGCAATGTTGAAAATGTTCACTATCGGGCCCTTTACAGGAAAAGTTCCTCAACCTCTCGTACAGAGTCCTACGCTCTATGAAGATGGCTTTGAATCTACTGAAGGATATATTTATTTTTTTCAGCAAATGACATTTATACAAACACTACCATATGCCTTAAAACAACTGATGCATAAATCTACTGTTCATGCTGCAAAATATGAAGTATAATCCCACTTGATAAGATTCACAAGAGATCATCACACTGGAGAAAAATCACTATTCTGTAGATTTTCACACATATGGATCTTGCTTTACAAAGTTAAGCTTCCAACAACAATTTCGTAGGTTCAATCAGTGTCTCAGAAATGTTATTTTTTCCCCCAGAGATGGCATTTGAAACTGTAATCAATCTTCCGGCATGGCGTTTCATGTTGGATTCTTGTTGAAATGGGATGCTGTGCTGTCAACATTGATCCTTAACCTCCCACTGCTGGGATGGCAGAATCACCAGGCAGGGTCATCTCTTCTGCCCACTCACCATGACATTATTCGGCAAGACAAAGATCACATGGATGTGGATTTGAACAACTGGATGCCCCCCACCCTGTGCGAAACAGGAAAGATGCAAGCCATCATTTTCTTTTCTCTTGCCTACCTCTTTTATTTACAGAAAATAGATTGTGAGCTATGAGCATGGAAACCCTTTGACCCATATTTAATACTTTGTGCTTGCTATCCCTGGTGACTAATGAAGAAGAAGAAACACGTCAAAGAAGATTAAGTCACAATGCCTATCATGGGGGTATTGCCACTGGAAGCTCATGCTCAGAGGACATTTCTCAAAACGGTAGTGGGGTTGTTCTTAGCCAGGGGTGATTCTGCCCCCCAAGCATCATTAGGTAATGTCTGAAGACATTTCTCATTCTCATAACTGGGTGGGCACTAGTAGCATCTAGTGGGTAGAGTCCAGAGATGCTGTTAAATAACCTAGGATGCACAATACAGCCCCCAGCATAGAGAATCATCCACGTAGCCCTCCACCACAAAGAATGAGATGGTGTCAAGTGTCTGCAGTGTCAAGGTTTGGAAACTGTGCACTAGAGTATTGTTCCAATAATCACTGAACTGGGTGTGATCACAGAGATAGGAAATTAAGGCAGGTGGGGTCACATCTAGTTTGTTCCAACAATTGTACATAGCAACAGCATATGTACCAGTGGTGGTTCAACTACAACTATGATAAGTTATGTGAACATAAGCCTCTTCAGACACAACTCATAATCCAAGTTATAGTCACAGAACAAGAAGACCGAAGACCAAGAGGTTACGTCTGCCGTATTGTCAGGAACCTGTGTGCCGACGAGTTCGTGACTTCACAAATCATAAGCATGCTTCATTACCCCTTCCTGTCTCTGTTCATCTATGATCACCATAACTGTCATTTACTTGGTCATCTGTCCATCACTCTCCTGCCTCTCCCCATTCAGTTGTACAAGACCGAGAGCCATAACAGGAACCTAAGGACGGAGTCAGCATTCATCATCCCTCACCCTTGAGTCTGAGATGCAAAAAGCCCTGGAAACCACAACATTTTTGCAAACGTCTTACTCTGTTTGGCAGCAGAAGCCAACCTGAAGTGACTGGGGGCATCAGGTTGTACGTTAACCTGCCAGCCTCTGCTACTGGCTACTCCCAGGCTGCTCTGTTGTGACATCAGGCTTAACTGCACTGGGGAAACAGCAACAAGAGCTCAAGAGACCTGTGAGTAGCAGTGAGAGGAAAGAGGAAAAGCATTTGTCACTAGCAGTAGCCGAGAAGTGTGGTTATAAAAGAAGTCTGGTTGTGCTGTACCTTGGAAGGAGCTGGAATGGGAAGACGGTAAAGAAATGGAAAGGCAGGTTGCTGAAATCTAGCTGATTGCTTTGCCACAGGCTGACCAACTCTCCCAGTTTGTCTAGGACTGAGGAATTCCAGTGTTCAAACTGAGACAGCCCTGGGCAAAGGTGGATCAACTGACCGCCCTACCTGTGTGATGAGGTTATCAGAAAATTCCATATAGAAGTAAACACTGAAAGCCCAGTGTGAATATTGAGAAAGTTGGCCGAAGGACTTTGAGAAGCTATTGGAAACCTCTGGTGAAAACCATCTTCTGAATATAAAGGAACAGAACACGGTGTTAAGGAATTTGCAAAGATAAGAGCCTCGGTGGATGCCATGGCATGGGCTCTGGTGTCAAGTGAGGACAGAGGTCACCTTTTCCCCCAGCTGCTGGTTGTGTGAATAACTGATGGTGCTCAGCTGAGTGTGTCTCTGGGAATTGCTCTCAGCCAGAGACTTGCCTTTCCCAAGGCGATGTCACCCCAACCCTTGAGATTACTAGGGCTGGGTCCCAAAGGTGGGCCCTCCTTGATTCAAAGTGAGACAACTATAAGGGTTGTACCAGCTCCAGAGCTCCCCCTAAAACAGGTGAGGTCTCGTTGTGAAGGATGACAGTCCTCTGGCTCATCCTCCTTACAAGTGTGGATCCTAAGAGCTCTCCCACCCTAAAAACCTTTCTTGTCCCAGAACCCATTTCCTGGGACTCAACATAAGACAAGAGCTGATAACAGCATTAGTCCTGAATACATGTACAGTATGGTAAAATAGCCCCACCTTCCCAGTAAGGTACAATCCTCGGCAAACCCAAAAAACGATGGGGAGAGGACTTCAGGCTCAGCTTGATGGTCCCTGGGTGTGTCATTTCTTCAGGCCAAGGCAAGACAGAGTGGTCAATGATCAGAAAACCCAACATCCAAGGTGATTAAGAAAACAATCCCATTTATAAACGCACTAAAAATAATAAAATGCTTAGCAATTAACCAAAGAGGTGAAAGACTTGTACTCCAGAAACTATAAAGTATTAACAAAAGAAATTGAAGATGAAACAAATGGAAAGATATTCCGCATTCATGGACTAGAAGAATACTATTAAAACGTCTATACTATCCAAAACAACCTGCAGATTTAATGCAATCTATATGAAAATCCCAACAGCATTTTTCACAAAACTAGAACAAATAATTCTAAAATTTGTATGAAGCCACAAAAGACCATGAATACCCATAGAAATCTTGGAAAACAAAACAAAACAAAACTGGAAGTATCACAGTTCTAGATTTCAAGATATACTACAAAGTTGTAGTAATCAAAACAGTATGGTACTGGCACAAAAACAGACACTTGGATCTACAGAACAGACAGCCCAGAAATAAATCCATGATTATACGGTCAATTACTCTTCAACAAAGGGGGCAAGAATATATAATGAGAAAAGGACAGTCTCGTCGACAAATGGTGTTGGGAAAACTGGACGGCTACATGCAAAGAATGAAACTGGACCACATTGTTTTTTTAATTTTTTAATGTTTATTTTTGAGAGAGAGACAGAGACGAGCACGGGGAGAAGGAGAGAGTAGGAGATACAAAATCTGAAACAGACTCCAGGCTCTGTGACGTGGGGCTTGAACTCCCAAACAGCAAGATCATGACTTGAGCTGAAGTTGGACGCTTAACCCACTGAGCCACCCAGGCACCTCAAAACCAGACCACATTCTTAAACCATACAGAAAAGTAAATGCAAAATAGATTAAGGACCTAAATGTGAGACCAGAAACCATACAGATACTAGAAGACAGCACTGACAGTAATTTGTTTAACATCGGCCACAGCAACGTTTTTCTAGCTATATCTCCTGAGGCAAGGGAAACAAAAGCAAAAATAAACTATTGGGACTACATCAAAAAGCTTCTAAACAGTAAAGAAGACAATCACCAAAACTAAAAGACAAACTCCTGAAAGAGAGAAGATATTTACAAGTGATATATCCAGTCAACAGTTAAGATCCAAAAAAAAAAAACAAAAAACAAAAAACGTATACAACTCAACGTACAAATAAACAAGTATCCCAACTTTTAAAAAATGGGCAGTAGACATGAACAGACATTTTTCAGAACAGATGGCCAACAGACACATGAAAAGATGCTCACCATCACTCATCATCAGGGAAATGCAGATCAAAACCACAAGGAGATACCACCCCACACCTGTCAGAATGGCTAAAATCAACACAAAACCAACAAGTGTTGGTGAGGATGTGGAGAAAAAGGAACCCTCTTGCACTGCTTGTAGGAATGAAAATTGATACAGTGAATGTGGAAAACGGTATGGAGGTTCCTCAAAAAATTAGAAATAGAATTACCAAATGATCCAGTAATTCCACTAGTGGGTATCTACCCAAATAATACCAAAACACTAATTTGAAGAGATATATGCCCCCTTACATTTACTGCAGCGTTATTTACAAGAGTCAAAATATAGCA